TCAGAATGTTCAGGGTATTTGTTTTAAACAATTTACAAGTGAGGAAACCAAAGACATTCTGTTCCCTTGTCTGTCAGAAAACTCCTCAGTGGCAGAACCACAGGAAAAACCTGGCTCAGGCCTCCTGACTCAAATACCATTTCACCATTCCACACCGCCTTTTTCTCAGTTTAAAATACTCAAACTGAATTCCGAGAAAAGCACCATCAGTCTTCCCATGAATGTGAAAGATACAGACAAAACTATGTTTCAATTACATAGCAATAAGATGCACAATAACAAAGACAAATTAAATAAAAAGCTGAATTTAAAAACTGCCTATAAATTTAATTTTTCCCTTTCTGTCAATTAAAACAATATTGAATACGAATTTTCTCTCTTCTCAAAACTAAAATCTTTAAAGCCTGGGTGTAACCAAAACTGAAATAGGCAAAAAACAGAGTACAAGAGAAAGAACTCAACTTCTCAACCAGTAGCTTGCATACTTTAGGGACAAGTAATTAGTAACAGATCGAGGCAGGTGCTTTTAAATACAAAATTGTTTTAGTTCAGAGAAACATACATGAAAGAAAAAAATTTGGTTCTACATAAATAACAAAGTAGAATTTTTCCACTAAGAAAAAATAAAAAGGCTAAAGATCATTTTGACAAAATTCCCTCTGATACTATAGGGCTGCACTGTCCAACTGTAGCCACATGGGACTACTTAAATTTAAATTGATTACAATTTTAAAAAATTCTGTTCCTCAATTATGCTGCACACATTTCATGTGCTCAGTGGACAGAGGGCTACCACACTGGACAGAACGATATGAACATTGCCAACACTGCAGAAAGTTCTACTGAACAGTGGTGCTACACAATAATAATGGATTACTTCATATTATTCTGCTGCCAGTATTTCCTGATACTTAGGAAACCTTTTTTCTTTAGCTGGGTTGAATTTAGCATATTGCAAAGTAACTAGCAAAGTACAAAATGTTTGCTGTTAGAGAGTATATTTCTGTAATTTTTCATTTGAGTGAGGATAAGGAGGTGGAAAAAGATAAAAGTAGAGATACAAGAGAACAGAAAACACATGCCATGAGAATCACATATTTAAAATGTAAATTTACCAGTTTTGTTATAAATTTTACCAGTGGACTAGAAATTGATTAGCAGCATCATTTCCTATCAATACAGCACAGCATTTAAGCACCTGGGCTATGGGACAATCTGCCTGGTTTCAACTAACTGCTTTACCATCTACTACTATTGATGGTAGACTTAATTTCTCTAGGCCTCCAGTTTAATGTAGATAATAATAGAGCTAACCTGACTGGTTTATAGTGAGTATTAAACAAACTAATATATGTGAAATGCTTTGCTTAGCCAGAAAGGTGATTGAAAGACAGTATATATTCAATAGAGATCAGCTGTCATCAGTATTATTGTTAATATCAAGAAGTATTATTCTTATTGAGAAAAATTGATGTATCAATTTCAAGTACAAGCAAAAGCAAAAATAAAAACTTAACAGTACCTTGTGATGGTTGTGATCTACTAATCCTCCAATCACATAGGCCTTTGATTCATCTAATTCCTTCAATACATTTGGTGAATCTGATGTAAGATAAACCAGGTCTTCTTTCTTTATGAATTCACTATAGTGCTCTGGTTTAATGTGGATATCCTTTAAGACACATGGGGAAAGATGTTATTAATAGGATTTGGGAAAAATCAGCTAATAGTCATTTTGAGAAGAAGTGAATCATATGAAAGTTTGAAAGAATGTTATTACAACACATTTTTTTATAACCTACTGCTTCAACTCCTTATCACCTCACACTTCAATTAGTTAAGACTCATTTTCTAAAAACACTACTTTCAATGTTTATCTTTATCTGTAGGATAAGATTCAAACTCCTTAACTTAGTAACTCTTTCCTGAATATGGCACTAACCTAACTTTCTAAATTTATCTCTGTTCCAACAAAACAAATGCATTTTGTCACATATTTGCTCACACTGTTTTCCAGCCAAAGAATGCTTTCTCCAATTACTTCTTCTCCATCTACATGAATCATCAAAAGGAAATGGCTTATAGATTTAATAAATTCCATGCATCTGTTTCTACAAAGATATACATTTAAAATTTTCACCTAAATTGTTAGGTCAGAGGTACAAAACAGAACAACAGTTTGCCAACTGCAGAATTTTGCAAACTACATTGATAGAAAAAAAGGAAGATGCATCGCCAGGCTCAGATGACATTTAACCAATAATCTTTAAGTGAATAAAAAATTTAACCAGGAGACCTCTCACCTAAACTGTATAACCTATTGATTAAAAAACAGCCATTTTTCTGGAAAACTTTATATTATAAATGAGACCCCATGCTTAATTAAGGGTCCCAAGAGGGACCTGAAATTAGAGACCATGAACTTCTGTATCTCTGGAAAGCTGATGGCATAAATAATAAATTTAACAAGCCACAAAATAACTGAAAGTACGCCTATTCTAACATATTATTTCTTGGGGGAAAAATGCATGATCATAAATCTTGGTAAATATATTTTAAAACTTAAAAAGAGCCTTTAAAAATGTTTCACACTATAGGTGAATAATAAAATAAATGCACTCATTATGGGATTAGTGAGTGTGAGAGGAATAGTTTGTTGTGGTGAAAACGGGCTTTGAGAAAGAAAAAAAAGCACAGGAATGACCCAGTACTTCTCTGAATAGGATAGGATTCCTCAGGGATTGCTACTAAACTAACAATCTATTGGATTGTCGGAAAAGTCATGACGCATTTTCTCTCTGTTTTTCAAAGGTCATTTATTTATATAAAGAACAAAGATCAATCAATGATATATTGCCCGTTTTGTTCAATAACCTTTTGCCATCTTTCAGTGAGCTTCATAATTCCTCCTTCACAGAAGGACCTGTCTTTATTTGCAAAAAAGTTAACAAGTTGCTGATTTACAGCCTCATCTGAATTGAATGTTACACCATGCAAAGAGTTTTGAAGAGAATAAAACAAGTGGAAGTCTGATGGCACAAGGTCAGGAGAGTATGGTGGGTGTGGCAACACATCCCATCCAAGCTCCAATAATTTTTGACGGATGATCAAACTTGTGTGTGGTCTCGTGTTGTTGCGATGGAACACAACTCCTTTACAATTAACAAGCTCTGGGCGTTTCTGGATGATGGATTCGTTCAAACTGTCCAATTGCCAACAGTACACATTTGAATTGATTGTTTGGTTCCTTGGTAGGAGCTCGAAAAACACGACCCCTTTAAAATCCCACCACACTGAGAGCATNCAAAAGAAATAAATTATTGACTATCAATTCGATACTGCTTCCTAAAATCACTATATTCAAGTTATTAAATTCAATAAAAGAGCTGCAAATAGAAGAGAACCTCCCACACAGAACATTTTGGTACATTTACAGGAGATTTATAAATATTTGCCTCCATAAATAAGTAGGCAATACATCAGAAAGACACTGACATAAAATAATAAAACTGAAAGGTCAGAAGGCACTGAAGGATACAATCCAGCAAATAAGAAAATGAAGGTTTGCTAATAAAGTAAAATTCTCAAAAAACTCTTATTTGAGGCTTAGAAAACTATTTTAAAAATTACACATCTAAATTGTATGCAAAACCAAAAAGTGCTTTCTTACAAGGGCTTTATATCACTTAGCTGTAAAAAAACGTTTTAAAAATTCACAACAGAAATAAGAGAAAATGAAATTTTGTTCCAATCTGAATATTCTATGAAGTGCCTCATTTTCTCCTAGTTTTTCCTTAAACTAAAAACCAAAAAGAAAAAAGCAGACGACATCAGTGTGGCACAGAGTGCACTGGAGATTCAGTGCTATTTTCTTTATCCTGCTTTTCTTCTTCATGTGGTGAATCTAGTTCGTTTCTGCTATTTTCGTCCTCACTGGAATCAGTGCCCAGTCTGCCTTCAACCCTGGCAGACTCTTTGTCATGGGAAGAACTTTCACAGGCTTTGTCTGTGGGAACAGCTCCTTTCCGCTGGGGTAAGATAGTAAAAAATGCTTCTTGCCAGTCTCTTGTTTCCAGGTATTCCAGAATAATCTCAAACACTGAAACAAAGACAAACTCTACATTTCTTAGCTGAGTTCAACACAATGTTGCATACTGTATTTGCATATTGTATTTTAAAATACATTACTTTTGTGTTAAGAGTGCTAGTGTGTCCTAATAATTATTTTGTTCTGATCACTTTCTTCTATTGGCTGTCAGAGCCAACTTGCACCAAAGCTCTCTTGTTGCCTCTTTAGCTTTTCCTCAATTCAGTTCTTAAGCTCCCAGAGGTTTACCATTATCACTTGTCAATTATAATCAACAGAGAATCTTTGTTTCCTTCCTATTCTTTATCCCTTTCACTTCTTTATCCTTATGTTCTAATATAAAACTAGACAAGAAAAATATTAGGATTAATCTAAATTTCTTCTATCAGTCCTATAAAGAGCCACTTACTCTGGGGAACATCTTGCCTGCTTTTTATTTCTTTTCTTATTAGAGGCAAAGAATATTAATACCATTGCCAAAGTACTCTCACATTAATACACTGCTGAAGGGTTAATGCTGATTACTTATGAAAAAAATCATTTCCATTATCTATCAAAGGTCTTAGAAGAAATTTGATCCTTGCATCAGCAAGTTCATTTCTATAACTCCCTAGAGCCTGCTACAGAGCTCAATGAACAGCTGTGTACTANATCATTGATTGATCTTTGTTCTTTATATAAATAAATGACCTTTGAAAAACATAGACAAAATACGTCATGACTTTTCTGACAACCCAATATATCATTTTACTTTATAATTGTCAGTAATTGGTGAGTTTCATAATTGTTCATTCACCTCCTAAAAGACATTCAGAATTACTTTTTTTTCTTTCCAATTTTGAGTTTTTTTCCAAATTCAGTCTGAAGACTGCCCCTTCTCTTAAGAATGAGCTTTCTTTATGAAGACCATGGTTTTAAAGAAATGAGAGAAAATGCTATTATTTTGGCAGACATATCTCCTTTTGATGCACTTAGACACTAGCTGAATTCCCAGCTTTATTATGTTCCAATACAAGTAAATTTACCATTACTGAAGTTTTAAATAATAAGGAACCTCTCAATAAACCAAAACAGTGTTGAGAGAAAAGAATACATTAAGATAAAAATTTCTATTATTTGAAAAACCAAAATTTCAAATACCTCAGAAATTAGCTATTTCTTATTGTAATCTTTGCCTTCTTGTCGTTAAAGTCTAAATAAGACATAGACTTGTAGAGGATGAAATTGTGTTCACCTAAAAATGTGTTCAAACCCTAGTAGCTAGTACGTGTGGATGTAACCTTTTTAGGAAATAGGGTCTTTGTAGATGTAATCGATTTAAGATCAGGGTGAACCCTAATCTGATGATTGGTATCCTTATAAGACGAGGGACACAGACATAGGCATGGGAGACAAGGGTAAAAGGCCATGTGATGACAAGACAGAGACTGGAGTAATGCTGCGGCAAGCCAAGGGCCACCAGGGCTTGTTGACAATCCCTGGAAGCTAGGCAGGGGCGAAAGGGGATTCTTCACTTACAGCCTTAGAAGGAAGTGTGATCCTACTGACACGTGGATTCTGCACTTTCAGCCTCCACAACTGTAAGGGAATACATTTCTGTTGTTTTAAGTTACCCAGTTAGTGTTCATTTGTTATGACAGCACTAGGAAACTAATATGGGGCTTTTATAATTAGTGAAAATTAAACTATATAATGTCTGTAATGATTTTTCCCTGTCTTTCAAAATTAAATTGTGCCTACTCCATATGGAATAATTTAAGTTAAAGGCATATTTCATGCTACTAAATCATAGTCGTTATTTGCTCAGAAAAATCTGAACCTTTGAAAAGTATAACTTAAGACATAGCTTTATTGTTTTAAAATTGTAGGAGCTTTTTTTTATTTATATACCTTGCTTACTTTAAATGGAGAATTATAACAGATTACTACAAATAAAGCAACAAAAAGACAGTGAACATCAATACTAAATCCAATCAACTTTCTACCAAATGTGTATATAATCTGAGATGCCAATGAGTAAAAGGCACAGAAACTTCATTTATCCACTCAGTGAAGGCTTCTGAAATCTTACTTTAGCTGTGACAAAACAATTGCTTACTTTAGACCTAACTGCTCTACATTTACTGGTAGGAAACTGAAACATCTTCTTCCCTAGCCAATGTCCTTATACAAATGTGTATTTATGGATATTTGCACTTCATGAAATTCAAATTCCTTAGTTCAACACAACCATTCACACAGATAATACACATATATGGCAACTAAATCCTGTTTATCACTAATAACAGAATTATACATGATGTGGACATATGTATGCATATGCATATATGCATATACAATTATGCGTATTTTCACACATGCTTATTTACAGAAATATACATTTACATTAGCATGATTATACGATAATAGGCAGATGCATATATAAAGTTAACTTTATTTAAGAAGGAACAGATATTTAATAAAAGTGTATATGGAAGAAAAAGCTAACTGCTGAGAGATATTTCTTCTTAAATTTAGGTAAAGACAGAATTGATCCTTCAACAGCCGTTTTAAAATAATCTAGCCTGAAAAATTAATTTTGTAAT